TGTAAGTTCCTCCCTAACATTTGTAACAACTTGTAAGATGCCTCCCTGACATCTTCCTCTATGAAGAGAAGAGGCAAAGAAACATGCTTTCTCCCCCTCTGAACATATCTATCAGACCACAACAAATAAACAGACCTGCTAATTCTCTAGCTGGTTCTAGTTATTTACAACTTGGACGAGCATTCTAAGAAAAATGTATGATCTCATGAATAGCATCAGGTTGTCCAATGTCTGAGAGTCACCCTAAGTTCCTTTTTGAAAATACCACTTCTACCATGTTACTCACCTGCTCAACAACCTGTTAATGGCTTTTTGTTGTCTATCACATCTAGTCCAAACTCATCTGCCCAACTTTCAGGTCCTCTACAATCTAGTTTCTATTCAACCTTATTTTGAAATACTACTTGAGTCTATGTTCAGGTCAGGCCAGGCCCGGCCCTTTATTGTTCTTAATGCAGGTAAGATTATACTTTACCACGTTTGTTCCAATCTTAGAATGCTTTCTCCACTTCTTTCTACATACGTAAATCTTACCTATCCTTTATTAAAGGTCTTTCCCCCCCAAAAACCCTACCCTTCTGATGAAATTATCTCCAATTACTCTAATCCTTTACTGTAATAAAAAAAAGTCTCTACTACATAATCTAATCAAATACTGTCAACTTTATAGCAGGTTATGTGTAGAGTTTAATACTTGACTGATGATATACAGTTTGTCAAATGCACAGTCTCTAAACATAATTTATAATGAAAGATTCAGCAAAAGTGCTAAAATTTAACTAAGACATTTGTTTCAGATAGAAGGCTCACCTCATTAAATCATCTTTCAAGCATACACAACAGGACATTGGGTTTTTGAAATCTTAACAGTTTAACAATAGTTCATCTATCTTAAGGCAGAAGGATTTACTAACTTTAATCACTAGCTAAAGAATAAGCCCAGCACATTTGCTCAATTTTTTTTCATAAGCTTTTAATCACAAGATGAAGTTAAGGTTGAGTTCAAAATCATTAAGCTTTATTTAGTGGTATAATCTAAAAAGAGCCTTATACAGAACAAATTTAGAATCACTAAAAATATAGTAATAATTGCATCATCATACATTCTGCATCTGTGTTAAGACTGTGACATGAGGTAAACTTTTTTCATTATTCATTAATTCATTCAACAAATACTTACTGAGCTCTAATTCTACTCACTGTACTAAATGGGGTGTGTGTGTGTTGGGGGGTACTAATAAAGATGTTTTTGCTCTCAAAGAATTTATGCTCTAATAATGAGAACCATCACAGTATATTATTAAGGAATTACTATGTTTCTTCTATTTCTTCTCATTTTGCAATACAGACATAGAAGATTTATCCAGAACCATAAATGAACTGACTGATTGATATGGAAAATAACACAGTCACTTGTGCAGATTTTTCTAAAAGGCAACTAGCTGGTTTTATGGGACGTAACTGAGACTAATTCTCTGTTTTGGGGATCTGTTAAATACAAATGTGACTTACTGAGGCCATCTGATCAAGATGATCTTAGCCAATCAAGGGTATGTCTTCTAATTTTCATCAGATAAAATTTTGGATAATATTAAGACCAAAATGACAACTAACTTGGTAGTATAGGGGATGGACTTCAGACCTTGGAGTCAGGAAAACCTGAATTCAAATTCTGCCTCAAATACTCTTTCACTGTGTCATTCTGGCCCAGCCATTGGACCTCTCTGTCCCTCAGTTTCTTCAATTGTAAAATGGGAGTAATGTCACCTACCTTAAAGGTTGTTAGGATCAAATGAGTTAACATGTATATAGTACAGTACCAACCTTAAAGTATATAAATGCCAGGTATTACTATCACCATCATCATCACCACCACCACCATCATCATCAGTTGCCTCATAAAATGCAGAAATTTTAAATGGACATTTGAAAAATCTTACTAAGAACCAATTAGAAAGGATTATACTTATTGGACTGTCCTAAAGTAAGTTTCTTAGTCATTACTGTTTCTCATGTTTTAGTCTTGTATGCCAAAGTTCTATTTTCTTCTGAGTTTTGAGGGCATTAGCTATGCACCAGGTAAGTACTTTTGCTAGGGTTAAGAGTATAAAATGACATCATAGATATAAAAATATTTCACAAAATATAAAAAACACTATATCATTATAATAATAAGGAATCACTGTTATAAGATTTTTTTAAAAATTAAAAATTTTAAGTTAGGGACTACCTCATCAGAGTTATGACACTTTGCAAAGAGATTCTCCTGTTCTCCCAGTATAAAGAAAGGCCCATGAGGATACAGAATAGAAGCATATACATTTGGGAGACCTTGCAGAGAATTTTCTTCATGCTTAGTGAAAAGTGAAAGACAAATGAATACACTACCTATTTCTACTGTTCCTCACAGTTAAATCCTATCAGCAGGTCCTTGTTAAATAGAGAGGATTACCATATTTACTTGAGCTCCTTCTCTCCACTCTGAAGAGGAAATATTTTCTTTAAAAAAAATCTCTCTCAGAGTAAGATTGTTTCTGATTGGCAACAGGACACCTCTGAATGCTTGCTAAGAGCAGCTGAAATAACCCTATTTACTGAAAGCAAGAGAAAGAGTCCTTTACCACTATTCATACTTCTGGGGGAGAACTTTCGATTCTGGACATAGTAGCTACTGGTGACATTGATCTAAATATCTACCTCAATGAATGGAGCATCCCTACTTTAAAAGTCTACCAACAATCTCGAAAGCGCCCTTGGTTCATCCTGTCAGAAGCAGAGAACATTTTACAGGAGGTATCTTTGTGAGCATAAAATAGTGGAAAGTACAATGGCTCTGGAGTCAGAGGACATCTCTGACACTACTGGGTCATAGCAAGTTACTCAGCCCTCTTGAGCCTTGATTCCCTTATCAGTAAAATTAGAGGATTGGACTGGATGACCTCAGAGGCTGCTTGCAGATTTAACTCTGATCCTATGATTGATGGTAAAACTGCCAAAGGCACACAAAAACACATGAAATGAAGAGTGGCTGCAAACTTGTTTTAAAATTACAGAAAAAAGTTATTTACTTTTCTTACCAAGCTTTCAGAGAACTCCTTAATGTCTCTTCTATATTGGCCCACTAGAGAGGGAATTATGGGGAGAAAAAGAAAAAAATATAAAATTTGTTTCCTCCTCAAAATTGGGAGGAAGATAGGCAGAGGAAAAGAATCAAACTGCATTGGTTTGAAATATTTAAAAATTAGAGAGGAAGCAATGCTGTAACAGAAATAGTACTTTTACATAGTGCTTTCAAGTTTATAAAATACTCTGCATACATCACCTCATTTGGTTGGTCCTCATAGCACCCCTGTAAGTAAGCACTACAAGTATTATCTCCATTTTACAAATAAGGAAACTAAGGCACAGAGAAGTTAAGTGACTTGACCATGGAAACACATCTAGAATAAGTGCTTTGAGACAAAATCTAAATCCAAATATGCAGACTTCAAGTCAGGAAGGACTGTGGTCAGTCTTCTTGAGGAAACATCTATACCAAATGACCAACGCTCAGTACTGTCCTTCTACCACACAAGGAGCTAGACTCATAAAGATCAATAGAAAATTGGAAATTCAATTTCCACTCCTATGGACTGTGCCAAACCTGATCCTGACGGACTAACATTTTAAACTCTAATTCCTTACATCAGAAACAAGCATTCTGTGGCCCACAGGCTCAATCTGTCTTGCGTGAAGGAGTAAGGAGCTCTGAGGAAAGGGCCCCGTTTATGGGCTAGATTGGCATTATCTGTGTTTTGGCTTAACCTGGGGGGAAATGGGGAACCACATCCCTGGCACTGGACTTGAACTTTTGTTCTGAGCCTGGGGTCCAGAACATGGACATGCCTCTCAGCTAGGGCAGCTTGCGAATTTGGAATCAGAAGGCCTTGAGTTTGCATCCTGTCTCTCTGTGTGACCTTGGCATTGTCATATAACTTCTCTGAGCTCTGCAAAAAGAGAAGGGCTGGGCCAGAGGACTTCTAACATCCCTTTCAGCTCTAGATTCACAATCCTATGTGTGTTGCTGCCTCTCATTGCTAGTAAGACACAGACATACTCAGGTCAAGTCTTCCCAGTTTTAACTCTTTTTTGGTAAAATATACCAAGGCATAGAAAATCAAATTTAATAAAAGGACAAATATTACGCCTGGGAGGAAGAGGAGGAGGTGAAAACAATTTGTTGATGCTTTTAGATTGTGTCCTGACTGAGCAGAAATAATTTTTTGATGATTGCTCAACTCTAACCTTACAAACCAAATGTAATTCAAACTATTCTGGATAGGCTGCAAGTCTGACTACTTCTATTATGTTTCAATCAACAAGCATTTATTAAGTGCCCACTATGTGCCACCCCCAATTTAATATGACAATTTTATATACACAGCAGTACAAAAGATAGAAGACTGTAATTTTTGTAAGGTTATAAGACTGTAAGGTTTGCAAAACCTTGAAGTACAGATGTCTCATTGGGTCACACAACTAGTAAGTATCTAGAGCAGGATCTGAACTCTTATTTTCCTGACCTCAGTTTCAGCATTCTAACCACTTCACCAACCTATCTGCCATGAAAGAAAAGAGATGGGTGTGGCTTTCATTTCCACCTATTTTCAGAAAGGAAGAGTTAGAACATGAGAAACAACTATTTCAATTTCTTGGGTGTGTTCCTCCCCCCTTCCCCCATTTTAACAAATCTAACAATGTTGTAAGTGTACTTAAGGCTTAGAACAATGGTCAATGATTCTTGGTCCAGAAAAATCAAATTTAATTTTATCAAATGATATCGGATAAAGTTTTGACATTACACCATTTCTGATCTAGAGATACAACCTCAATTTCATTCTTGGACAAGTGATATACCAATCCAAATATAGCAAGGCAACCAAATAAATCATATTTTATCTTCTTCTGTGTGCCCTGGATGAAAACCCAAATAAAAAAATAAATCTTTGTCCATTGCCTACCTGAGCCATCACTGGAAACTGAACTTGCATTGATTCCAGAAAGACCAAACAAAGGACACTCTCTATCAGTGTTGACATGACCCCATTTGTGACATTTAATGCACCTCACATTCCGCACCTAAGGAATCAGAAGTATTGTTATGGTTACTGAATATTTTGCAGATTTTCTTGCTATCTTAACTCCTTTATGCCTATGAAGCACTGAATTTAAATTACTTTGGAATGATAGGTTTTAACCTATTTTGAAAGATATCAAGGAAAAGAGATGTTATACCCTCCTTTAGCAACTCCAATCCAGTGATTAACAGCTTTAAATCTAAGGAAATTCTAATATCTAACCTAAATTTCTAAAGGTGAAATTTAAGCCTTTTTCTCTTTACCATCTTAAGTGGTAACAGAATGACTACCTCTTTAATATGGCAATTATTAAGTTACCCCTCAGCCTTGAATTATCTAGACTCAATTCTTTATAGCTTTTCTGCTTTGTACATAAAGAGTCATTTTGGATCGAGAAGCCAGCCCCCAAGTAGGGGACAGACTATTTTTTTCAGTTTTCAAGTCAATAGACAAAAACAAAAACATTATGTTGCTTTAAGGCAGGGACTGGCAAACTACAGCCCATGGGCCAAATCTGGCCTGCTACCTGTTTCTATATAGTTCGTGAGCCAAGGAATTTTTATATTTTAAAAAATCAGCTCTCAAACTCAGATCGAGAGCCAAAACAGGCTCACTGAATGTTTATAGGAGGGTCTGAAGGAATTCTGTGGAAAGCCTCAAGAATGGAGGGACCACAACAGTTAGGTTACTTCCAGGGTTCTATGCAGGGCGTGCTGTTAGTCCTTTCCCCTTTCCTAAGTGTGTGGAGGGATTAGAGTCCAAGCTGGAGCTGGTATAGGTTTGGCTCCTCTTGTTCTCCATAACGAATGATGCTCTAGACTTCTTTTAGTTACTGTGAGCAAAAAACACCAACACATATGAACAAAATCACAAAGCACACTTCCATAGCTTTGAGTAAGGCTGTACTCAAAATATTAAAACACGTAAGGTGATGACAAAATCTTAGGTACCCGGTGACCTAGGGACCCAGACTTGATAAGCCCATTTCTAGATCCTGACCAAAAAATCCCCACAGCTCTCAAGGGACCAAAAGCTTAAAGCAATACCTACTGCACACACTCAACTGTCTTGCCTATATTTTAGCAGTGTCTTCATGTTGTTTTTTAACCTCTGCATTTTCTTTTGTTATCTGATGTTAACAGAAATTGAATTGTGAACACTGTAAAAGTAATCACACCGTACACTTTTGCTGAATGGTGTAATTAAAGAACAATTTATAATATAAATAGTATTCTGACAAAATGAAACACATCCTTTACCTGAATACCAAATGGCTGGTCTCTGATATTCATGTCATCCTTTGCATATCTATTAAGTACAGAAAATGTACATATTGCAAAAATTTGAAATAATTCAGTCATCAGTAACAGTTAATCTGAAAAAGTTTTATAATTCATAGGTTATCACATTATTTTATTTCAACAAGCAAAGAACTATAAAAATCATAATAAGAAACAATTCTCAATAGAGAAGGCACTTCACAGTTATACCTGGTATTGAGTGTGACAGTTCAGAATTTGCAGAATAAGCAGGTATATTAAATAAAAAATTGCCAAGATCAAGCAGATCTGTCACCTGAAAGCATTTTTTAAAAATCCCTTTTTTTTAGATGAAAGGAAGAGACAACAAAAGAAATAAAAAAGGGGAAAAAAACAAAAAAAAGTTTATGATTTATAAATTTTATTTAGAAAAGGTAACAGTTCTTACTTTTCTCGTGGGGCTCCTTTCTGCCATTCAAATTTGTATTCAGTCTCTCCTTTTGCATCTTCTTGCTAAAAATATAAATATGAGTCTTTAAAATTTTCCATAAAATGTTATAATTAGTGATACATTTTGTTGAATTTAAAGTAAATGGAAAAACAAAAAATAGTATTTTACCTCTTTGTTTTCTTGATTGAATATCAAACACATGAAAAAGACAGGTTTAAGAACATTAATTTAAATCATATACTCTATTAACTCCATATGTAGTCATTTATAATGGCCTCATATTGCAATTCACAAATAACTCAATTTCTTTTTTCCTTGCTTCTTCATCTCACAGAGTTAAATTTTACAACAATAAATAATTTGAAAGCAATTTAAAATAAGACTATTGATAAGCATGTAAAATTCCTCATTTTTAAACTTTCAGCACATCCATCATACTGAAATGGGAATATTATGTTTCCAATTTCTTTATGAATTGTATTCAGTAATAAAGATATTTGCAAAAATGGAAATTTTAAATCTGTGTTCACACTGAATTTTTCTTTTAAGAAAGAAAACTAAGTATTATTAGGCAGTACAAATATTTTTTTATCTTCCTTTATTAGTTACTTAATTATCTTCATAGAAGTACAATACCATTTTAATATTTAGCATAATACTCCTTAATTATTAGTTGGACCCCTCCCCTCCCCTAGGCTTTTTTTTTTGTTTTTTTGCTAGGCAATGGGGTTAAGTGACTTGCCCAAGGTCACACAGCTAGTATTTGAACTCAGGTCCTCCTGACTCCTGGGCCGGTGCTCTATCCACTGTGCTACCTAGCTGCCCCTCCCCAAGATGTTTCAAAAACAAAGCAACCATGCTTTTACCTTTTTTAGCTCCGGGTGGGGCCTCATACATAAAATTAAGGCCATTCTTTACACGTTCATCACCCATAAGTAACCTAAGTGAAAGAAGACATAGATCTGAAAATTATACAAAAGAAGAACAAAATGCATTCTAAAGAATAATCCTTCCTAAAAGCAGAACCTATACTGATAGAAAATATTTTTTTAGTGAGACATCTATAACTTTTACTTCACAAACAGCAAGAATACTCTTATGTTTCTGCATGTAAATTTAAAGAACTAGTACAAAATGTTTGACTAACAAATTACATGATTACCCCTATACTGAAAGCCCCAGGCACATCTGCTGAAAGAAAAGAGAGAACTACCTTTGCCATCCCCAGAGACTTTTCTTCAACTTAATGAAGTACTAAAGAAAAGCAGCAGGACTTCAAAGATGTCACTATTGCATATTTCATATGAAGTAGAACTGAGTTCAATTTACACAATTATTAAATGCATACTATGTATAAAGCAGCCTGCTAGAGTAAATAATGCTACCACATTCCATTCCCTTGCTATGTTTTCACTTTACCCCAAATTAGTTGATGACTGCTTAAATCATCATGTAGTAACCTGAAATAAATATTGTGAATATCTCTATTCAGTCAAAAAATGATCAACAGTTTTAAGAATCAAAGCCAAAGAAATGGTATTAAATAATTTTGAGACCTAGGTGTCAAGTTAAAGAGTCTGGTGGACTTTATCTGCATCAGCTATGCTACAAAGATCAGGAAAATGATTTCATGCTAAGGTCTAAATCAGCATTTTTCAAACTCTTCTGTGGAACCCAGGGTACAACAAAGTGATCCAGAAAATTTCATGAAGAAAAAGCCCTAACAGAGTATAGGCACTCATAGCAAAACTATCTACTTCATGGCTTATATCAGCTATTCACAATGTATGCCTTTATTCAATGTAGAAAACAATCAAAGCTTGAGAGAAATCGGTAAAGAATGGTCTCTTATTGGCCTAGAGTCCACCACTATATGCATATGCCATGCCATGCAACAGGTTGTTTGTCTAGCTTGGTACTGTACTGTATGTAAAATAATTTTTTATACATTTGGGGAGGTAGCCTGGTATAGTGTAAAGAGTACCAGACTTAGAATCACTCAGGACCTAAGTTGAATTCTGTCTCTGATACTGACTAGTTGAGTGAATACAGAAAAATCACTAAGCCTCTTAAAGCCTCACTTTCTCATTGATAAAATGGGGATGATAAATCTGTAGTTCTTCCTTACAGGGTTGCTGTGATAGTCATATATAATGTACATAAGAATACTTTGTAAACTTGAAGGTGTATAGAGATTTCAGCTATCAGCATTCATTTATACTTTCAGGATCTAAATACACACACACACACACACACACACACACACACACACACAAAATGCCTATTATAGTACTGAATTTTTTGGTTGTTTTTAGGTATGGGTTTGCATTGATTTCATAGGTATAGAGAGTACTCAGCAGCAAGGAATCTCCTACCCATTCAGACAAACAATAGTTCTGCAACGTCAGGACTTGGTTGCCTGGGGTTAAGTTAAGTGATTTGCCTAAAGCAACACAGCAAGTATATGTCTGAGGCAGGACTTAGACCCAGATCATCCAGATTCTGAAGCTGGCCTTCTAATAACTATACCACACTTCTTCTCTTACACTGTCCAATATGGATAGTTAGGTAAAATTAAGAAGTCACAACAGGAAAGATCCAATTGTAAAACATCTAAAAAACACAGTTCTAAAGACAAATTATGATTTGAGGACTGTTGTGTAATAACTTCACGTAATCAAAAACATTAATTTTTAGTGTAAAGATTGCCTAAAAATGATTTGTTCAAAAAAGAACTATTGGACCATTTGGAAAATGTTTTCTGGAACACAGGAATATTTTTCTAACTCCAAGTTCTGAATCAGTCAAGATGCTGGTTTCTAAGGAAAAAATATACTGGAATTGTGGTTTACAACACTGCTTGAATAAAGTTATTAGTAGGTTCCTGGCTCAAAAAGAAAAGATCTGTTCAAACTATAGTATACTGGTAGGTGATTTTTGTCACTTAGAGTTTTAGCTCTTTGCTAACTTAAAAAAAGAGACAAACAAACATCATGCCATTTCTCACCTATTATCATATGATTCTTGTTCCTTAAGGTATTGCTGCATTAATTCCTCTTGTTTCTTCTTATCATATGATATTTTCTGTTCAGCCATCCATACCTTATTAATAAAGTAAAACATTAAACTTAGTATTTAAATTTAAGTTTCCTTTTTACAAAAAGATTAAATTCTACTATTTATAGTCAGTTTCCTCAAAGACATACCTAGATGTCTCTTCCCATTGTAGCCCCAGAAGATTACCAGCAGAAAGATATGTACTGGGTGACAAACTATTTATTTATCTGAGAATGAGCCTTGTGAAGTCTGGAGAGAGTCTTACCAGAAAGTTGGCTACCAAATAATAAATATTTTTTGGCCACAGCCAACTCGTTCCATGACAGGGAAGGGTTGTGATCTCCACTGCTGGTGGGAGTTTCCATAATAATGAAATTACCAATCTTTTGGAATACTTGGGGGAAAAACCTTATTCTACAACAGATTTGCATAGCATAACAGGAAACTTTTCATAGTGGATAAAGGGCAGACCCCAGTTACAAAGATATGGGGTTCAGGTACAGGTCGCAGATACATACTGGCAGAGCAAATCACTTAACCTCTTGGTGGCCCTAGGCAGTTCTCTTAAGATTTTTAAGTTACCAAGGAGGTTCTGATCTTTGGTAGAGGAAATTTCCTCACCAGGAGTTTCCTTTAGCAATGAAATCACAAGTCTAGAACGCTCAAAGCCCAGATTTTGCAGATAATATTTCCACTTAGTTCTTATGAGGGGTAACTATTGGTGAAGAATGACACCATTCAGTAGGCCTTTAATAGGTTTAAGCATAGGTCCAGAGATCAGAAAATAACTCTGAAATCTGATCAGGATTCTAACAAAGTTTATGTAATTTTCAATTACATCAGAGAGACAATGGAATAATTTTTGATCATATATCCGTGAGGAAGAGGAGACAACCTCTTGAGGAACTCCTACCAACACCCCCCCACCACATCCACAGGAACAAGTTAGGGGGTCTACCTATGAACTAAAGTGAACTGCATATCAAAAAACTATACCTTACAATATTTATTCTTATGAGGCAATGTTTACAATGGGTAATACAGAAGGGTTATTTACAAACAAAAAGGTAGCTACAGGGTCAGATCAGGTTGGTACCCTTCCATAAATAAATAAAGTTAAATTTCTCAGACCTCCCTCTAGGTTTCTAATCTCAGGAATCTTAGAGGACCTTTAGTTAATTTTGACATTCCAAGGGAAAAGGCTTCTGCCATCCAAGTAACCTCCTAAACAAAAAGGGGCAACCCTGGGCCCTAAATAAAAAAGACTTAATAAAAAGGTATCAAAAATTAGTAATTAAAACTAATAATTAAGAAATTTAAAAATTATCACAACAGGCCCTATTAAATCCTATAATCATTCAATATTGTTCACTTTAAGCCAAGATTAGGAAGCCCTAACAATTCTCCCAATCATCCAGGCTCATATCTTTGCAGGTATCCATGACTTCCCTTTTTCTAAATGTCTAATCACCTACCAAGTCCTGTTGATCATACCCATTCCATTTCATTAGTAGCTTCCCTATGAACTGACAGCACAACCACTCTAGTTAAGGCCCTAATCTCTTCAGCCTCCCCACCACTCTTCCTGGCTCCAGTCTCTTCTATTTTAGATCATATTTCACATCATATTCTGAGTAATCTTTCTAAAGCACTGTTCCAATATCTCTTTCCTATTCACAAAACTTCACTGGCTCATCACTGCTCATTAAATAGAATCAAAACTCTAGATCCTGGCATACAAAGAGACTAGAGAAAAGAGATTACTTCACGGAGGAGGTAGTATGGTCCCTGAAGGAAGAGTACTATTTCTTAAGGTAGGGAAATGAGGAAGAGAGACAGAACATTAATTTATAAAAAGGAAAACCGATGATCAAAGGAAATCAGTAGAGTAGGGTACGCAGCAACCAAAACTTAAAGAACAAGGGTATCAGAGTGATTTTTGTGGGGCTTCGAAATGTCAATTAGAAACCCACGGAGAAAAACCTTCTATGCCCATTCAAATCTGGGGGTACATAAACCCAAATGATTTTTCCATTACATTGTTGCCTCTTCTACTCAAAATGTTAAGTCTAACAGTGGCATTATTTCTGTATGCTGTTCCTGTTTCAATTTAGATCTCTTTTCAGCATAAGCTACCTGTACTGCTCCAGCTAAAGCTGCACGGAATAAAGAACAAAACAAACAAACAAAAAAATCCAACAAGCACCTTGGACTAGGTTAGGAGGTGGGCTCAGCCTGCTGGATGTTAGCAATCCTAAAATTAATCCTGAATGATCTGGACAGTGTTCCTGACCCCCTCCAGGCAGGAGAAATCTATTCCAGAAGACGATGGGGCAGAGGACTAGGAGAACAAGGAGGCACAATAATGAGTCGTTTAAGCACCTGTAGTCTAGACCTGGGCTCAATTAAAAGTACCATCAGCCTCTCTGCGGATGGAGTAAACTAATACGTAGGCTCAGGATCCCTACTGAAAACCCGGGCTGTCATTAAACCACTCTAAAGAGGTTCCAGAACATTTCAGTAAACTACTGATCATTAATCACAGAAGGCAGAACAGCATCTCCACGACTTACGGGGTCGAGGAGAGAATTATCAAGAGCTCCCCGAGACCCCCGACGGGCCGCGCAGCCTCCGCCGGGTCTCCAGACCCGCTTCCCGGGCGGCGGCATCGCGGGGCGCTCTTGGCCGGCCCAGGGCTGGGGAGGGTCCCGCCTTTGGCCGGCTCGAATGCCGTCCCCTGCCCGCCCCACCGCGCTTCCTCTGCGCGGCCCCTCTTACTTTCTTGATGTTGGACTTGGACGCTGGATGGAAGTCCTTCTTGCACATGAAGTTAGCGAATGATTTCCCCATGTTTGAGCTAGACGCCGAGACCGAGCAGCTCCTGACGTCAACAACCTTCCACTATCGAACCGGAACTGCTCCGATGCTCAAAGGTAACTTCCGGGGTCGGAGGGCACGGCTTCCGCCCCACCGAACTTTCCTCCCCTTAACCTGACCCGGTAACTGACACCCCCACGCTCTTTCTCCATCCGTCGCCTCTCCTTTTCAGAGTGTGTGGCGCCCCGCCCCTCGTCACAGCCTCCAGTGAGCCCCTGGCCCAGGTGAGGGCCGGGCAGGGGGCCGGGCAGGGGGCGTGCGGGGCCTGGGGAGGCTGGGGAGGTTGGGGAGAAGGGGACGCGAGTGTTTAATGGTCACGGGTGGACCGACAGGGTTGAGGGAGGGATCCTCCCGGCCCCCAAAGCGAGCCCTGCAGGTCGAGACCTCTTTTCTCAGTCCCTGCTGCCTCTTCCTCCCTCTAATTGGAGAAGGCGAAGGGTGACGTTAAGGAAGACATGCTGGGCTGAGCCTCTAGTTAAGAAGAATCCAGCTTGAGACAGTGTGACCTTGGGCCAGTCACTCCACCTCTGCCTGCATTAGTTTCCTCATCCATAAAATGGGGATAATAATAGCACCCACCTGCCAGGATTGTTATGAGGCCCAACTGAGATAGTACATGTAAAGTGCTTAGTTCTGGCACACAGTAGGTGCTTAATAAATGCTTGTGTCTCTGTCCCCAACCGCCCTTCCCTCTCATCGTAGTCTCCAGAAATTTATAATCCTGAAAAAATCTCATCCGCTCAGAAAATCACACCTTCCTCAGTACACCAAAGGTTTGAGGAGAAACGAGAAAGTTTGGAACAGTTGCTATGCTGAGTGGGATAAGAAATCGGTTAGGAAGTTGTAGGCTTGTCTTGCTGTCAGGGCCCATTTGAGAGTAGGTGAAATAAATTTATAATGGACCTGATCAGCATGCTTTGTGACTTCTTACAGTTTTATTTTTTTTGCAGCAAGCACTTGAGTAGGAGTGAAAGAAGAGAATGGTGGGAAGTAATTTAGAGTGGGGGTTTTGCAAGGTTTGATTGGCTATAAAACAAAGGGCAAGGGTCACCAAAGAGTCAAGATTGGAAAGGTAGGAAGGCTGTAGACTTAGGAAAATCTTGAGGAGTAGAGGAGATTGGAGGGCCTGATGAGTACAGAGAACAGGGTTAGGGGGCGTAAGGCATTGGGAAAGATAAAATGATAAGATTATGTTTAGATAAAAGCATTTTGGAGTTTATGAACATGGAATTGGAGCATTTGTGGATGAAGACAAGATCAAGATTGTGACCATCAATTTGTAGCTGAAGTAGAGTGGAAAGAGAAGGTCATGGAAAATGAGTAGCTTGAGAGACTAGAAAATTAGAATATTTGAGGGAATATAAATATGTATGTTACAGTCTTTGAGTATGAAGGCAGGAGTTGGGATGGAAAAAAAAGACAACCTGGCCCTGAACTCATTGAGAAAGGAGGAAGATGGGGTCAGTGGTTAATGACCAGAAGGATCTGATTGGGTGATGAATTTGTATAATAGGAGTTTCGGAAGAGTAGAGGTTGCTAAGTGATGGTGGTAGAGGGGGAGTCTGGAAGTATCAGTGGAAAATTAGGAGTAATTTGACTGTTGCTCCATGACCAGTGAGTTGAGGGTATAAGAAAAAGGGCAGCTAGGACTAGAGAGGTGTCTCGATAAGTAAGCAGTCATCTGTGAGTGCCAGTACAAAGAAGGAATGGGAAAGGAACCAGGCTAGGGTCAAGGTGGGAAGAGCAGAAATGAGGCTTCCACCAGTTGGTGGAAAAGGGGAAAGAGAAGAATTAAATGCACAGAATTTAGATAGAAAGGACCTTAGATATTACTCTCTTACAAACTAAGGTGTAAAGAGGGGCAGGAGCTTCCTGAATGTCACATAGCAGGTGGTGAGCCTGGAATTTCCTATGTTCTTTTTTCTATAGCCATAGTCACAAAGCTCATGGTCCTTGTTTAGGCCTTTAAAAATTCACTCAAATGGACCTGTGATATTCCCAATGTGTTGGTGATCTGCAGATTGCTAGCTATCTGTGTCTGCCCAGTTGCTGTGTGACTCTTGTCAATGTCTTTCCATAAGTTCACTATAGGAGGTCCCACCAGTGTACTAGGCCTTTCCCTGGATTTCTCTTCACAGTGCTAGTATACTAATGCATTAGTGCTATAATGTATGTAATATTGTGCATATAATATTATTTATCAAATGTACATTGCCTTTATGGTGTTTATAGGATTATAAAATGAGGGAAATACAAGATATTTGAAAGTAATGATGAATTATAAAAATAACATGGCTACTAGAAGGAAAATTAGAAATTGAAGAATAGAACATTGTGAGTTTATTTAGATCAGGATTTCTTAAACTTTTTCCACTTGGGACTCCCTCAGTACTTCTTAAGCTTTGGGGGGGTTGTTTTGCTCTGAGGGGTTCAGAGATCCCTCAGGGATCAGAGTACGGGACAGGGTTGTCTGGAATGAATTCACAGACTCAAGCATTCTTTAAGTCAAGTTGGCAAAGATTTATTGTTATGCTTTTCAGCGGGCAAAAGTTCTTAAGGAACCTGTGACCTTAGAGAGCGGTTCAGCTAAAGTTTATATAGGATAAGCTATAGTAAAACATATGCCAAATATGCTAACTAGGTGATTCAGGTTGGGTTTAGGGAGTGGTTAAGGAGTGGTCAGTTCTTCAAGGAACATGTACTTTTTGTATCTACTGTGCAGATGTTTTACCCAGAATTCACCAGGAAAAACCTAAGGGGGGGGCACATGGAGGTGTGGTTTTAGGTCTGCTGTGTCACTAAGTTAACTAGCAGTCAGCATCGATTGAGGGTTGCCCAGTCTGCCACCAATCAATGACAAGATAGATGTAGGGAGTATACATATGTCTTAAGTCTAGAATACACATAATGAGGAGTCCAGGAGGCAAATAATGAGGTAGGGATTGGTACAGATAGTCCAGTGGGTACAGATATCTTTATGACCCAGTACAAAGCCAGTTTAAATTAATAATTCCTACAGGTTCGGTATGTAACTGCACCAGGGAGAGAGATAAGTGTGTTGCTGAGGCCCACTCATAAGTAATTGGTAGGCATAGTGTCCTTGGGCTGGGGAGAAACTGCCAGAGATAGTGTTCCTGGAGCTAGGGAGAAATATGGTCTTGGAATTGGGTCCCAGTACAAGCATTCAAGCACCCCATCTGGGTCATGACTCACAAGATCATTAAGAAATACAAGTTTTCGAAATTTATACTTTTTGGGGAAAAGATTAAAAATTTTCTCTTGGATATGTTGAATTTGATGGGACATCCTGAAATGCTCAATGGACAGTTTTAGACAACTGAGAATTTAAATAGTTGAGAATTTTTGTAAACTTTGACATAATTTTTTGGATTTGCTGGTACAGTAATAACAATAATACTCGCTAGCATTTATTGCAAAGTACTTTACAAATATCTCATTTGATTGGTATAAATGAGTCTGGTATAAAATTTAGATCTAGTCTGCCTTATATTACTATTCAAAATTATTTTCTGAATCCAAAGACAAAGATTTACTTAAGATTTATAAATTATACATATGCATTTATATTTGATGTATGTATATATATATATATATATATTTTAAAGTATTATTACAAATAAAATGGTGCGTATCCTATACAATTTTCTTTGATCCATATAATTCATACTTCAAGAATCCATGATTTCATATAGGTATTCTTTCCACTAATGTGTATAATTACTTGCTCCCCACCATAGGAGAGGACCTTCATGAGCCCTATGAGTTCCCTGGGATTGGCCTTTCAAGACTTGGCTAGGCTGGTTTTTAGACCACCACTGTGGAGTCTGTCATCATTCTTTGTATAGTGAAGTCTTTCAGACTTGTAATGGGACCGTCGGAGCTTTTATTCCAGTAGCATAGCCTTTGGGAGCCCACATTCAAACAGGAGAGGGTGTGATACAGTACATGTAATTTAAAAGTTCTTAGGAACTTTTTTGTTCCACTAAAATTCTGTCCCATTGCTTGATTGTGGAGTGGAGGTGAATTCCTAAAGGCTATGATTGGAACACAAGTTTTAGAAGGGCTTACCAGGCTAGCAAGATTTAAAGTAGAGGCAAACTGCATGTCTGTCACCTGAGGGCCAGCTGAAGTGTTGAGTGGCTTTCCCCCAGGTTCACTGCAGGGTGATGGATTTTTTTGTCTACAGACTCTTAAAGACTCTTTCAAGTCATAGAAGGATCACAGTTTGCATATGTGACACTAACAGTCACAGGCCCTTCAAATAGTGCAGAAAATTTGAACTTTACGTAATGTAATAGTAGCTCTTGATCCTCAAATAAAACTCCTTGTTTGATTTATTTTCCAAATTACATTCCTTCCTCTAATAATTTTTTACTTTTTTTTTTTTTAAGGATTGGCTCAAGAAACATGGAACCTACTTCTTGTGACACATTTGTGGCCTTGCCTCCTGCAACAATTGGCAATAGGATTATTTTTGGAAAAAATTCAGATAGACTTTTTGATGAAGTACAAGAAATAATTTATTTTCCTGCTTCATTTCATAGCCATGGAAAAAAACTTGAGGTTAAGTAAAATGTTTTGTTCAATATGCCATTTTTAAGAACTGTGAATAGCTTTTTTGTGAGTAAGATATTATTCCAGGGGATAGGTAAGTTAAAAATTCAAGAAATTGAGTATGAAAAAATCCAGTAAAAATAGATACACTTTTGTAATATTTGGTTCACATCAATTCAGTAAGGCTTTATTAATTACTTTCTTTTTACAAAATACCATACGAGAGATTAGGGATACAATGACAAAAAATGAGATAGTCCCTACCCTTTGGGATCTTGTATTCTACTGTCACTCGCATGTAACTTCTTTGCTTAAAACTCTTCAGTGTCTGTGTGCTTATTGTTGTTTAGTCGTTTTCAGTTGTGTTTGACTCTTCTTGACCCCATTTGGTTTGCCATTTCCTTCCCCAGTTTGTTTTACAGATGAGGAAACTGAGGCAAACAGGATTACACAGCTAGTTAGTGTCTAAGGTCACATTTGAACTCAGGTCTTCTTGAATCCAGGCCTGGTGTTCTGTCTACTGCACCTTACTGTTTATCCTTGCATTTAAGGCCTACCATGGTCTGTTGTGTTCTTCTTTTTCAAGCTTTATCTCACATTACTCTTTAGTATGTAACTTTATATTCTAGCCAAATTGGGAAACCCATTATCCTATACAAATCTTGCATTTCCCTCCCTCTCTCCCTGTTGTTCCATATGCCTATAGTGTCCTCTGTTCCATCTCAAGTTGTTGAAGTCTTTTTTATGTTTTAAGCCCAAATGCTGTATTCTCCATGAAGTCTTCCTGGAGCTCTCCCTCCTATCTCTGTCTTTGCAAAATACTTTTTTAAAAATTCACTTATCCTTATTGACTTTATTATGTACTTTTAAAAAATACAAGCTATAAAAAGAGATGTGCAGTTTTATATACAGTACGTTGTTCTTTGTATGTGGAAATGTTTATATTTGGTGGTATTTATCAAGTTCAGAATAGCAAAAAAAATTTTCAATTAAAAATTAATTTATGTTCTGTTTGGATTATAGCTTTTATGTATATGTTGCTTTTTCCTTATAGATTATAAACTAAATGAGGGCAAGGACCATTACTTTTTGTTTTAGATCTCATATAGTGTCTAGCGTAGTGCTCTACAGCTAGTAGGAGCTTAGTAAATTGTTTGTCAAATTGAATTGATTCAAGAAAGATAAGGATTGAAAAATCTTATAATATAATCTTGCTTTTCCCAGACATCAAAGAAGGGTAAGTAGACCTAATGATGTCACTGTCATAGTACCATAGATCTAGAAGGGATCTTAGAAGTCATCTAGTGGAGACCTTCTAACCCAACCCTCTAATTTTACAGATGAGGAAACCAACCCAGCAAAGTTTCTCCCTAAGTAACATAGATAGTAAGTGGCCAAGCTAAGATTTGAAAGCAGGTTCTCTGTTTCCAAATGTGGGGATCTTTATGATGTATGATGCTTCTTATTGCGTCTATTCATATAGAATTAGTTGAAAATTACTTTAGTGTTTTGATGAATCTGTTGTCTCGTCAACGTGGAAGCCCCCTCCAAGGATGCAGGTTGTACATCCAGGCTTCGTCCGTGTCTAGTAAATCCTCCCTGGGAGGTTGCCCAATATCTTTTGTAGCCTTTTTCTAGATCTCTTGACAATATGTGAGTACTACTGAGTTCACATGGACTATTCATTGATTATCCCTCACACTTTCTGAGTGACTTGTTCTTTTCTGGTTATCTATCTCTCTGATAGTTTGTTTCATGTTACATCTCTTATGTATTTTATTGGTAATATAATGTGAGTGAGCCAAGATGGCAGAGTAAAAGCAGTGACTTGTTTGAGCTCTCCCCCAGGCCCTTCTAAATACCTGTGAAAAATGGCTCTAAACAAATTCTAGAGCAGCAGAACCCACAAAAAGAAAGAGTGAAACATATTTCAAGTTCAGTAGGGCCCCAGTCTTGGTGCAGCCCTGGGTGGGTGGCTGCTTCTGGAGCTCTAGGCCCACAGACTGAATGAGCAGCAGATTAGGGGGATTGCAGGGATCTCTTTGCTGGTGCTGAGGTAGGATTCTTGTGCTTTGCCCATGCTTGGATCTGAGTCACAATTCTGGGTGGAGGTCCTGGGGTGAGGAGGACCACTGGTGGAGCTTGTAGTGGTGGTGCAGAGCGAATCCTCCTCACAGTTCCAAGGCAGAAAAGAGTGCCTGTGGTCACTCATAGACCAGAGCACAGGCCAGGGAAGGAATAAACACCTTGCCTTTGATTATACCACCTTGGAAGAACTGAAAATTTACAGGTCCCTAACAGTATCTCTGAAAACAGCTACACAAAACCCCTGAAGCTTGGGACAGTACATTCTCCACACTGGAAGCAGACCCCTACCTAAATAAAGAGCTTAAAAGTCAAATAATTGTCTGGGATCATGAGCAAACTGCGCAAAAAAGTTAGACCACAGAATCTTACTTTAGTGCCAAAGAAGATCAAAACATACAACCAGAAGACAACATGATCAAAGCTCCTACTCCAAAGCCTCCAGGAAAAATATGTATCAGTCCTAGGCCATGGAAGAGCTCAAAAAGGATCTTGAAAAGCAAGTAAGAGAAGTAGAGGAAAAATTGGAAAGAGAAATGAGAGTAATGCAAGAAAATCATGAAAAACAAGTCAGCAGCTTGCTAAAGGACACCCAAAAAAATACTGAAGAAAATAACACCTTAAGAAATAGCCTAACCCAAATGGCAAAAGAGGTCCAAAAAGCCAAAGAGGAGAAGAATGCTTTGAAAAGCAGAATTGGCCACATAGAAAAGGAAGTCCAAAAGTTCACTGAAGAAAATACTTCCTTAAAAATTAGAATGGAGCAAATGGTAAGATGATGCGATAAAACCTTTTCATGCTCATCATGTGTCTTTCCATTGTCCTTTGAGTTACCCACAGTTTGAAAACTTCGGAAACCAGTATTGTAAGATTTGTATTCATATGACATCACCAGAAAAATACGGGTACTGAAAAGGTGGACCTTTGTTTCAGGGAGAAGTTTAAGATAATTAAAATACCATATAGTTTTTCAAATACAATCTGACCTCACCTCCCATTTAGTTCTGGGCCCAGTTCATTGTCTACAAAGATATATATGTTGATGGAACAACTATACAGTCTGTACAACTGTCTGTCATAGTCTGGACAACAGGCATACTTTTTTCCACTTGGCTTTTCCTATGTGGATAGTTAGGCTAAAATCTTTGTTGTTATTGATTTCATTTAGGAGTCATAACAATATTACAGGATTTGATACAAGCAGCATAATATCATCCCCAAACAGGCACATCTGGAGGACCTCTCATCAATAAAGAATCTCTCATTTCAACTTGGCCCTGGACATTCTCCATGACTATCTAGTTTTATGCCTTACTTTATACTTATAATCAGTGGATAATCAACTAAAGTTATATCTGTAGCATCTTTTAAGAAATCTCGTATGACTTTTACGTACGTGTGAGAGATGCTTTGTTGAAGGAGATGTCATTTTGCTGAACTGAATCACATTCTTTTTTGTAGTCAACAAACATTAAGTAAAGTAACATTTTATATTCTCTGAATCTTTAAGTCAGTCAAGTGTGGTCTGCCTTTCTTTCTAATTCTGCCTTTCTAATGTTCTCTTCTAATTCCTTGATGAAGTACGCCCTTGATAATTATGTAGGTTATTCTCATAAAAAATTTATAGCAATGGGAATGTAGGCATATGAATTGGTAGTTATGGATATTTTCTTCTTCTTTTTCTATTGGTGTTTTCTTGATTCCCTTTTTTCAGTAGTAAAATATATGATTTTTCCCACCCAAGGTTTTGGTATTCTCCTCTTTCAGGTATTTTGAGACTTTGTCTTTCAACACTCTTATGGTTGTAACATCTTCACGTATATTTCCTCATTTATTCTAGCCTGATTGCTCTTCATATCTTTCTTTTCTGTTGTGCCATTTGTAATATTTCACAAAGCATTTTAGGGATTGTAATGTTAGAGTCCAGATATTGTGGCAGTATTATCCTTAATGGGAAAAAATAGTTTTCAACAGTGATGTTAATAGATCTTTTCTACTGTTCACTTGTTTATTGTCTTCCGCTTCTTGCTGTTAAGAGACAATATGGTTTATAATTTTCTACCTTCTTCATTAAGATTTTACAAATGAGTTAATATTCTAAAGTTGCTGTTGCCTTGGCTGTCACTTCTTTCTTTTTGGAAGGGAGATTAAATATTTATACTCTGAGGCAGTTTTGAGGCACTTTTGGTCTTCTTGTTATGGTGATTGGTTTATGTAAGTTAAACTTCCTTAGGAAATGATGTCCATCCTTTTAAACAATTTTTTTTCTGAATCAATAGTTTACTTAAATGGGACAAGTTTGAGTCGTTTTAGTTAAGTTGCTATATCTTCTGATTTTAATTTCTTCTTACTTAGTATTGATTTTGATTTTTTTTCTCTAATAAGCCAATTCTTCGACTATATATATATATACACATATGTATATATGTATATATACGTATATATATGTATATATATATGTATCTGATTCAAAAATTATGTCCCAGTCAGTAACCAGTTATTTCCTAACCATTAAGATGTAATAAATATAAATATTGTGATCTTATTTGATGTAATGTGTAGAGTAATTAATGGAACCTTAACATTGCATGCTACATGTTTTTATATGGGGCTTATGTTTAAAAGTTGATATTGCAGGTTTTTTCTTTTTGGTTGTATGTTGCAAACTTTTTTTATTGGTTCATTTAAAAAGAATATTGTGTTTTAGATTGTTTTCACGTGGTATGTTGGTTCATTTTTTAGGGCAGTTTTGAATATATTTTGTAATGTTTTAGTTATTGTTGACATCTGTCCAGTGGTTTTTGTTACTTTTATAACAGTTTTGTAATAGTTTTGACTGTAAAACTATTGAATTCCAACTTTCATTGAATCATTAACAGTTTTTTTTAACTATAAATTTCTTTATAGTGTACCTATATACAAATTGAACAAGTGAAAGAAACACATGCTGTTATACTAAGTCGGCCATCTTGGTTATGGGGTGCAGAAATGGGAGCCAATGAACATGGAGTTTGCATTGGCAATGAAGCTGTATGGGGAAGAGAAGCAGTATGCGATGAAGAGGCCTTACTTGGCATGGACCTTGTCAGGTTATCAGATATACTTGTGGGTTTAGTAGGAAATAAAACCAAATAAACCATATTTTGTAGAACTTAATTTTACTTTTTAAATTATAATGCCATACTGTTTCAAAATGTTCTGATATTTGTTATATTACTCTTAGTGAGTGAAAACATAATGTTTTGGCTAAAATACCACAGAACAGAAAGATGAAATACTAAGAGTTACAAATGTCATAGAGGATAAGTTTAACAATACTTGTCAGCCTGGTTGTTATTTTTAAAGGAATGTTATGTTGAAATTAATAGATGATATCTTATGAACAACAATTTTTTTAAAAATGCAAATATTTTACAAAAACTTATTACATTTTATTTTAGGCTTGGACTTGAAAGAGCTGATACAGCTGAAAAAGCAGTCAGTGTCATTGTTGATTTACTAGAAAAATATGGACAGGGTGGAAATTGTTCGGAGAGTATGGTATTTAGCTATCACAATAGTTTTCTGATAGCTGATCGGCATGAAGCATGGATTCTCGAGACCATAGGACAATATTGGGCAGCAGAAAAAGTAGAAGGTATGGACAACATATTATTGAATTCATTTTATAATACATTAAATACTCCCAATTTCTCACACTTTACTGGATTACTCCTCAGGGCTGAAAGGTGTTCATTTGTCTAAGACATAAATCTGATGTAATGTGAGAATGGTTTGGAAAAGACAGAGAAATGAACTCCCTCTGGTTATTTTTCCTTACTTGGCTAATGTGAAATGCAATTTCCTCACTTGGTCAATGTGAAATATCTCTAATTTTTAGTAGGTAGCCCGTTTGTCCTTTTTTGTTTATTATATTTTATTGTTCTTCCCCTCTGTCACTCGGGGCTGAAATATAGAGGTGTGGGCTTGGAGAGTAGCTGTTTGAGCATTTGACCATCCTAGGTAATTAGATTAGATGAAAGGCTTTTATATGTGTACATTAAAATATAAAAACTAGTCATTATTTTAAGAAATCTAATTCAATTTTTTGAGAATGCTTTGCATTAGTTTTATTCCTTTTAGGTGATAGATGGATGTTGAGTGAAATACATATCTGCTGTGTGCTTAGCAGGCACTCTGGATGATGGAAAAGAATTGTTAGACACAGTTGCATCTCTCAAACACCTTCTAGTCTCATTGGGAAGGCAAGGCAGACACAGAGGACAACGTTAAATAATAATACAAAATGGTACAGTACTATCTATAACTGTTCCACAATGAGTGATAGAAACATTACATCCAAAGAGCCTAGAATCATGGGTTTAGATTTTTAAAAGGTTCTTAGAGATCATCACATCAGACCCCCCCCTTATTTCATAGATTAAAAAAAAAGGAGGCCAAAGAGGTTGAGTGACCTGCCCAGGTTCACACAGTTAGGAAGTCAGGCAGCTAGGTGACTCAGTGGTTAAAACATAGGACTAGGGGTCAAAAAGATGAGTTAAAATCTTGCCTCAGATGCTTATTATCCATGTGATAGGCAAATCACTTAATCTCTCTGGATCTCAGTTTCTTCTTCTGGAAAATGGGGATAATAATAACACCTATCTCACAGGGTTGTTATAAGAATCAAATGAGATAATGTATATAAACATTTTGCAAACCTTAAAGTGCAAACCTTAAATGCTAGCCATTGTCATTTTTATCTCTTTAGATAAAATTTTCACTGGCCTTTCCAATAATAGATTTCAGTAGATGATTTTGTTCTTTAAATTGTCTACTTAGCATTTTTTTTAAAGGTTCTACGTTTCTGTGAGTAAAAGTAAATCATAAGAAACAATTCACAAAACTCAATTCAGTTTAGCACACATTTATTCAGGCCTTCATCACCTCTTGCAAAAGCCTCCTAATTGGTCTTCTTGTCTAAAGTATCTCTGTCCTCCAGACCATCCTCTACACTTATGCCAGTGCAAGATTCTTTTTTTTTTTTAATTTATTTTTTATGGTTTTTTTTTTTAGGCTTTTGGGGTTAAGTGACTTGCCCAGGGTCACACAGCTAGTAAGTGTCAAGTGTTTGGTCTGAGGCCGGATTTGAACTCAGGTCCTCCTGACTTCAGGGCCGGTGCTCTATCCACTGCGCCACTTAGCTAACCTGTAAGATTCTTAAAACACAAGCTTGACCATGCTCCTCCCCTGCTCCAAAAGCTCTCTTAGCTCTTTTCTCTAAGTTCAAATACAAACTGTTCTGTTTAGCATTGAAAACTCTTCACAGCCTGACTGTTCTCCTTCCCTCACTCTTTGGAACTTCTATTATCCTTTTCCATGTCTTTGCATAGGCTGTCTCTCCCTGTCTGGAAGGCATGATATCTCCTCATCGGTTAGCTTGTGCCATCTTCTACCATGAGGCCTTTCATGATGCCCTCAGCTGCTAGTGCCTCACACTGAAAATTCCTTTGTATCTACTCTGTATTTTTTTTATGTATGTGGTGTTTCTTCCTATACAGTATAAGCTCCTTGAGGGCAGGAACCATTCCTTTTATGTCCTTTTATGTCCCTAGTGCCTAGCAAAGTGCACATAGTAGCTGCTTAAGAAAAGCTTGCTGATCTATCTGGCTCTGTATAATTTTTGTTCTTCCTCTTTAATAACAGAGGGAGTTCGTAATATTTCCAATCAACTCTCTATAACAACCAAGATTGACAGAGAGCATCCAAAAATGAGAGAACATGCTAAGGATAAAGGTTGGTGGGATGGTCAAAAGGAATTTAATTTTGCTGCTGTGTATGGCCCTCTTAATAGTTCCTGGATTACTACTTCATCAGGCAGATACTATGAGGGTTGCCAGCTTCTGAACAAACACAAAGGTAATCTTTTTATTTAAATAATACTATTTGAATGAAATTTTGTAAGCTTTTGTATATTCCTATATAGTAATGATAAAATAGGCAGTCATTATGAGGTCTTACACTTACTAATGACTTGATTAAAACTTCATTATTATGTTCTAGGCTAATTGTTGCTTCTGATGTAATAATTTCTGACATGCTGAACTCCAAAATTATGCTAGAAAAATTATCTTTTAGCAAACTGCTAAATGGCAGATATTTTCTTTAAAAAAAAGCCAGTTTCACCAAAAGGAGTCTGTTTTGTTTACATAATAAAAACCATACTTTCTGTGACCAACATGTTGCTTCACTGGCTGAAGCACAAATGGGTTCTGAAAGTCAATCAGAATGCAGCTTTTCATAAGTGAGACAGTCCAGGGCTATAATTTTTTTCACTAGTGCTTATGTGTTAATTAGTATTATGTATGAAATATAGAATATTTTAATGTTCCACAACATTTTCATATTTTCTGCTGTTTTGAAAAGAGATATTATAGCTTTGTTGATATTATCAATAAATGCTTTTCACTTTAGCATAGAAACATTCTATGAACAATTTATTTTATAGAGATTATTTCATAAATATACTACTTAAACAAAATTCATTAATTTTTTCCCATTTGGAAAGTAGGGCTTTTAGATAATGTTTTAAAATGCATTTTCTTAATTACTATGTCTGGTACCTGAGTGCTGTTTCATTTCTACATCACTGGATCTGTTACTGAAATATTGATGATCTCTTTGAAAAAAAAATGGTCACATCTGAAGGAAGAGGGAAAAAATATAGTTAAGTACACTGTACTGAAGAAGAGATTAGTTTTCCCTTTTTTTCTTTTCTGTGACCCCTGTAAATGTGAATGTAAACTGAGATCACCTTTATTTCACTTTATTAAGTTAGTAATCTCTCTAGTGGTGGACTGATGGCTTAGACTTTTCCACAGTATCAACAGATGCCTAAAAAACAGATTACTAGTTAGTTTTCAGTTTTTCTGGAGTAAGATTTGTACATTTTTTTGTTAATGAAAATGTTTTCAAATAATGCCAGCACTTTAATTAGAAAATCAACTCTCAGGTTATCTAGTTTTTTGTTTTGTTTTGTTTGTGTTTTTAGCTCTTCCAGGAATTCTTTTTTTTTTTTGGCTTTTTGGTGAGGCAGCTGGGGTTAAGTAACTTGCCCAGGGTCACACAGAGGTTATCTAGTTTTTAACCTATTCAATGCAGAGAACATTTAGAAAGATTTCAGAATTTGTTTTTCTTTATTGCTCATTTTTTATGAGTTTATACAAGTTTCTAGAAACTTATGCTTGTTTGGAGTTGTTGTGTTAAGGGATTGTGCATTCTTATTTATGACAGTAATTGTTTTTTGGCTTAGCAATTACAGCCATCGGACACTATATAAAAAGGTCATTGTTGAAGTTTGAAAGAAGAGGAGATGTAAAGAATCACAAGTTATTAGGGCAATTAAAGGAGGAAAGAAAAGGGCTTTGAATTCATCATCTGCTTTGTAATATGTTAAAATTAAATTGTTTAATTACAAGTTAATTGGAAAGTGAATTTCTTTTAAATTCATAGGTAGCTGTAATAAAAAAAAGGTGGCACCTAAATTTTTTATTTTTCTATGTGAAAAGGGCAATCTGTTTAGCTTACTGTGAATCCTCAAAAGAGGGAAGGCCTTTTTCCTCACACTAACATTTAATTTTCTTCTATTCATTGTAACTTTTCTTTAGATTTCTGTAGACCAACACTGCTATGTCTCTCTTCCAACTGTTCTTCATGGTAGCTATTAACTGTGCTGCACGTATATCCAAATTGCAAATACATTCACTCATGCATTTGAAATAACTAGTTTAAATTGCAATGAAATTGCACCCCTGTGTTTTTTATTCATTTTACTGAGCCCTACCACCACAGTCTTACTACTTATTCAATGGTTGCTAGTGGATTACTTGTAGCTGTCCTACTCTTGTGATCATGTAAATCCTTCTTTTATTTCGAGAATTGTAGGTTTTGAACAGAGGAGACATTTTCATAATACCTGTATTATAGCGGTCTTATGTTTCTGTCACTGTTTTCGTTATAAATCCTTATTTTCAGGAATTTAGATCTCAACCATTTTAAAATCACACGAGGTGTTCCTGTTATCTGTCTGATTCATAGGTTTTGTTTGGTGTTTTTGGTAGTTTTTTGGCCTTTTTCTTTCAAAAAAATATTAAGAGCTGCTTTTAGATGCTGCCCTATCTTTTTTTTGCTTTTTGTTCTTAATTTATTAAAAACTGAATATAGAAAGATCATTTCTCTTGTAACAGGGTCATTTATAGAAAACAATTAGCTATTTTCTCTGCATTTTAAAGCCACTGATGGCTTACTGTATACATATTTAATGAAATGTAAGAAAAATAACTTGGCATAGAAAGGAAGAGGTCGTAGGAACTTCAAATTCTTTAAATTTACTTATTTGATTATATATGTAGGGGATTACCTCAATTTAAAGGTAGAGATTTTATAGTGGAAAAACACTGACAGAAACATTGCTATGATAGAGTTATTTGGAAAATGTATTAAATATGTAAGACTAGCTGGCCTTTACTCCATCATCAAGGGTTGTCCATACCCTTGATCTTTCCAACACCTGCAAGTGTTGCACATCTATGTTGATGACCTCTGAAATTCCTTTATCTGATCATAAACTTTTGTCATTCCCCCCTCTCCCTCTTGATCCCAAACCTTGCTTTTCATCCTCACTTTGACATCCTATCCCTCCACCCCCTTCTTTCCCAGGCCATCACCTCTGCACGGGCTATACTTTCTTTCCTTCCCCATTGTGACCTCTTGATGAACCAGTTCAACTTTATACTGTCATCTTCTCTGAAAGCCCTTGCCCCTTTATCCTGTTGAAAATCTTGCCTTGCCAAGTTGTCAGCCTTGGATTACCGCCCCCCCCCCAACTTTGTTTCTACATACACATTGTTGAACAAAGCTGGAGAAAATCATGAAACTCTTGACTGCAGCCACTACTAGTTTATGTTACATAATCTTAACTGGCCCTCATTGGGGCAAAACGTTCCTTTTACATCTCTCTAATTGATTCACTATTCCACTCATTACAGTGGCTTTTCTAAGCCTTTTCTTCCCCCTTTAAACCTCCTAGAGTTCTTCTTACCCTCACCCTCTCTGCTGAGAACCTTGCCTCATATTTCACTGAAAAAATTAAGACTGTTCAGTAGGATCTTCCTCTGCTCCTATCCTCATCACCCATCCCCCAGATGCCCTCTGCTGTTACCTCCTCCTTCACTTGTTTCATTTGAAGACATAGCCCTTCTCTTTGCCAAGGTAAACCCCTCTACTTGCGTGTGAGCCCATTCCATCCTGTCTTCCCCAGAAGATTGCCCCTCTATCATCCCTACTCTCTAATTAGTTTTCAATCCCTTCCTATCTACTGGCTGCATTTTTACTGCCTGCAAATAAGCCCATGTCTCTCTCTTCCATTCTCAAGAAACCCTCACTTGATCCATCCACCCCTGCTAACTCTTCTCCTATATCTTTCTTCCCCCTTGGTGGCTAAACTCCTTGAGAAGGCTGTCTACAAGAGATACCTCCAATTCCTTTCCTCTCTCTTATTTCCTCTGCAGTCTAGCTTCTGACCTCATTGTTCAACCCAAACTGCTCTCTCCAAAGTTACCAACGATTCATTAATTGCTAAATCTAATGACCTTTTCTCAATCCTCTTCCTTTTGACCTCTCTGCAGCCTTTGACACTATTGATCATTCTCTTCTCCTTGATTCTCTTTTCTCTGGAATTTTGTGGTGCTCCTTTCTTCCAGTTCTCCTCCTACCTCTCTGATCACTTTTCTATCTCCTTACTGCATCTTCATCTGTGTCATGATCACTAACTGTAGGATCTTCCCAAGGCTGTCCTGGACCCTCATCTCCCTCTGAACTATTTCACCTGGTGATCTCATCAACTCTCACGGTTTCATTTATCATCTTTATGTAAATGATTCTCAAATCCACTTCTCCATTCCTAACCTCCCTTGGATTTCTGACTGTTTATTAGGCCTGGTATTCCATAGATATCCTAAACCTAACCTATCCAAAACTGAACTCATTTTCTCCTCTAAAATATCCCACCCTTATGATCTTGCCTATTAATGTGAAAGGTACCACCATCTTCCCAGTCACCCAGGCTTGTAACCTAGGTATCATCCTTTACTCTTCATACTCCGTGTCCACTCAGTGGTCAGATCCTGTCATCTTCACCTTGTTAACACCCCTGGCATACTCCCCCTTCTTTCCTGTCACACTGAAACCACCTTGGTGCAGATCTTCATCCCTTTAAGACCATTGCAATCATCTGTTGGTTGGTCTCCTGCCTCAGATCTCTTCCCCATTCTGATCCATCCTTGACTCAGCTATTAAGTTGATTTTCAGGAAGTGCAAATCTGATCACTTTGTCTCTATAATCAATAAACACCATTGGCTGCTTATTATCTTCAGGATCAAATATAAAATCCTGTTTGTGTTTTAAAGTCCTTCATAACCTTCATAACCACCCTTCCAATCTTATTACACCTTATTCTTTCTGTTTCCCCACCATGTATTCTGTGATCCAATGACACTAGAAGCTCTGGATTCAAATCCTGTCTTAGACACTTCTTAGCTACTTCACCCTGGCAGATCACTTAATCTGTATCAGCCTCAGTTTTCTCATCTGCAAAGTAGAATAATAAGAGCACCTCCCTCTCAGGGCCATGGTGAGGGTTAGAAGAGATACTTTCTGTAAAGGACTTTGCAGAGTTTTAAAGTGCTTATATAAATGTCAGTTATTCTTTTTTAAAAATTTTTTATTAATTTATTTTGATTTATCAACAATCACTTCTATAAGCTTTTGAGTTTTAAATTTTTACTCCCTCCCCAAGACAGCGCACAATCTGATATAGGCTGTACATATACATTCCTATTTAACACATTTTCATAGTGATGTTGTAAGGAAGAATTAGAACCAATAGGCAGAACCACCAGAAAGAGGAAACAAAACAAAACAGAAGAAAAAAAATAGCAAATAGTATGCTTCGATTTGCATTCAAACTCCATAGTTCTTTCTTTGGATGTGGATAGCATTTTCCATCATAAGGCCTTTGGAGATGTCTTAGATCCTTGCATTGCTGAGAATGGCTAAGTCTATCAATGTTAGTCATCGCACAACGTGACTATTACTGTTTATAACGTTCTCCTGGTTCTGCTCACTTCACTCAGTATCTTTTCTTTTTTTTTTTTTTCTAGACAGTGGGGTTAAGTGACTTGCCCAGGGTTACACAGCTAGTAAGTGTTATGTGTCTGAGGCCGGATTTGAACTCAGGTCCTCCTGAATCCAGGGCTGATGCTCTATCCACTGCACCACCTAGCTGCCCCTATTCTTTTTCTTCATAATAGCAATCATGCTGTAGTTATCGCAGACATGGACTTAACATTTCCCAGTTTGGTGAAGGAAGAGACTTTTGTGATGTAACAGTCTCCATGCTTAAATGTAGTATTCTTTTATTACTTGCCTCCCATTGGAAAATAACTAAGTAGTAATATTAAAATCATTGTTACTGAAATAACTTTCTTCATAGTTGATGTGGGAAATAGGATTGGTTGCATGTGTTTTGCATTGTTCCCTTTTTGCTTTTTATTTCTTTGGGAGTTCTGTCTTAGCTATAATAATTTATGTAGCTAATGTTCTCTTAAATTTATTCCTAGTTGGTGATAAGCCTGAGTTTAATGTAGTTGATTTGATAACAAGGCTTATATTTTGTTAGTGTCTTAGGTGATGTTTATCCTAAGACCAATATTTCATATTATTCATGATGAGCAGAGAAAACATCTTCTATGTAAGAGGGCATTCTCTAAGCAAAAGTGTTTGAGTGTGTGACAAGTTAACTACAGATATAATTCTAACAGGTTTTTGTTGTAGCTTCTATTCTGGTAGGAGGACTTAGGGGAAATGAGTCTTACTTATACAGGTCTGTAAAGTAAATTGCGGTAATGCCAAACTGCACAAATTGGAGTTCGTATTTGTTAGCATAGTTGCATAACTAATTTGATTTTCAAATTTTTCAATAGGAAATATGACTTTTGAAACAATGATGGAAATTCTCCGAGATAAAGAAAGTGGCATTAATATGGAGGGAGAGTTTCAGACTACTGGCAGCATGGTTTCTGTTTTGCCTTCAGATCCCAGCCTTCCATGCATTCATTTCTTTACAGGAACCCCTAATCCTGAAAGGTGAAGTAAGAGATGAATGATAAGTGGGTAGGGAAAAGAAGCTTAACATTTATTTAAATTAATACCATTTTAATTTTAATGAGATAACTAATTTTTAAAAGGTTTAAAATAAAGGATATATCTTCTTGTAAATATTTAGTGTCTCACTTCTGTAATTGCCAATAGTGAATCCTTTGTTTCTATAAGAAGAGAATGTTAATATGTTTTAATATATTTCAGTTACTTAAGTTAAACATAGCTTTATTAATGGAAACTTTCCTAGAGGGAGTAATGGAAGAAAATGAGTGTATTAAATATTCTCTATATTTTGATTGCCCCAACAGTAATAAAGACTGTTCTTTTTTGCTTCTAGATCTGTTTTTAAACCATTCATATTTGTATCAAATATGACTCAGTTACTAGAAACTAACTCACCAACATTTGGACATGAAGATCCAGTTAAAAAGAAGCCACGTTTTCAGAGTAAACCTGACAGAAGACATGCTCTTTATCGCAAACATGAACAGGCAATTGAAATAATAGAGTCTAATGAGGTATGAAAATTCAATTTAACTGAACAAACATTTATTAAATGTCCATTATGTGGAAAACCTGCAATAGGTCTAGGCGTGGTTGTGGTGAGATACAAAGTTTATATGAGCCAAAAGATCTGCCTTAATAGAGCTTACAGTTTGTTTCAGGGTCATCAAGAGTCAATTAACCTGTGTTTCATCCACAGTCACCAGTTTGAGTTTCAACTTCTTGAAAGAAAGAGTTTGGTGAAATCACATATGTCCATTTTCTAATATGTATTTGAGGAAAATGGGATATTTGTGACATCCTTTTAGGATATACCTCTTACTTAAAGTCATATCTCAGTGTAAAAGTCATTGAAAGGCAGATATTTCAGTCTATTATCTAGTATCCCTTGTTGTCACATTAAAAGGTAATATTGGGCAGGATGGATTATCATTCTAATGTGACATTTATTTTCTTTTTCTGAATATATGAACATTCCAGCATGTCATTTATGTTCTTTGTGTTTCTTTCTGACATAGCATTTATTTTTAAACTAGCAAATAGTGGTGATAAGAATTGGACTGCACAGTGTCTTATACTTGGGTTCAAAAATCAGCTTCACAAATAAAAGTTGCAGGAAGTATGGCTGGACAGCAATTAGTCTGAAAGAGATTTTAGGGATTTAGAGTTAGGGTTAATAAGGATTTTAACAGTGTAGTATGGCAACCAAAAAGGCTTCATGAGTTTCAAAGTGTCATGAGAGAGGTAGCGTCCAGGAATAGGTAGGTAAAAGTTCCTCTGTATGATGCCCTGCTCAGAGGGCATGTGGAGGTTTGCATTTAGTTAGGGGCCCCACATTTTAGAAGGACATTGATAGGCTTTAACGTATCCAGTGGAAGGCAACCAAGGTGGTAACGTTATGCCATAAGAGGTTTGTTGGAAGGAAATGAAGATGTTTGTCTTGGAGAAAAGAAGACTTATGGGGTCATGATTGTTCTCTTAAAGCATATAAAGAGACTCATGGTGAAGGGGATTAACTTTATTCTGCTTGGCCCCAGAAGGTGTAATGAAGATCATTGTATAGAGAAGTTGGGGCTTATGTTAGGAAAAAATTCCTACCACAGTTAGCTTTCTCCTAAAGGAATGAGATGCCACACACATGGTGATAGGTACCTCATGAGTCTTTAAGCAAAAACCTTATGAGTACTTGGTGGGTTCATTGTAGATAGGATTCTCACTCAAGTAAAGGTTAGACTAGATAGTTTTTGAGATCCCCTTCAAAATGTTAGGATTCTGTGAAAACAGGTTGGTCAGTTCAGTGGGGAAAAAAATTCAGAAACCAGTTTTGTTCAGAAAAGTTGATTTATAATTATGTGTTGACTCTGCCTATTTTTCTTTATCACTAGTTCCTCTTTCTCCTATTTTAATTAAAATTTGAAAATTTCTTTCTAGAATCACAGAATTTCAGAGTTGGACAGGACTTTAGAATCCCTTTAGACTAACCTATACTCAAACCAGAATTCATTCTATAAAACACCTAACAAGTGGTCACTCAGCCTTTGCTTGAGGAGAAAGCCACCATTCTCAGGGCATTTCAACTATTTTTAGATAGCTGTAATTATTAGGAATTTTTCCATCGATTGCTTCAAGTTCTGTTCTCTGGAACCAAGCAGAAGGTTAATCCCCCTTCCACCTGGTGGCTTTTCAAATAATTGATCACAGCTGTCATCTTCCACTGAAGTCGTCTCTTCTCCAGGCTAAACAGTCCATTCCTTTATTTGATTCTCACATGGCATGAGTTCCAAGGTCCATTGTGGATGCTTTCTAGCTTATCGGTATCCTCTTAAAAATATGGCACCCAGAACTGAATTTAGTATCCCAGAAGAAGTCTGAAATATTGCAGAACTGGGATGGAAATTTATTGAAACAATTTTAGTGTATGAGGCAAAATTTAGAATTATATCACTTGCAGGTGATCAATTTTGTATTTATTTTTTTTTCTTTGATTTTGTTTTTATTTTTTTTTCACTTCCACAAGTTTTTGAGTTCCAAATTTCTCGCCCCTCCCCCCACCCCAAGATGGCATGCATTCTGAATACCCCTTCCCCTGGTCTGCCTTCTCTTCTATCTCTCCCCCCTCCCTTCTCTTATCCCCTTCTCCTTCTATTTTCCTGTAGAGCAGGATAGACTTCTGTACCCCCATTTCTTGTATTTCTTATTTCCCAGTTGCATGTGAAAACATTTTTTTAAAAAAACATGTGTTTTTAAAACTTTGAGTTCCAAATTTTCTCCCTTCCTCCCTCCCCACCCACCCTCATTGAAAAGGCAAGCAACTCAATATAGGTTGTACATGTTCAGTTATGCAAAACACTTCCTTAGTAGACATGTTGTGAAAAACTAACTCTATTTCCCTTAATCCTATCCTGCCCTCCATTATTTATTCTTTCTTTTGACCCTGTCCCTCCTCAGAAGTATTTACTTCTGATTACCCCTTTCCCAATCTGCCCTCCTCTCTATCACCCCCCTGCTCTCTTGCCCCTTCTCCCCCTATTTTCCTGTAGGGTAAGACAGATTTCCATACCCAATTGAATGTGTATGTTATTCTCTCCTTAAGCCAAATCCTATGAGAATAAGATTCCCTCATTCCCTCTCACCTTCCCATTTCCCCTCCACTGTGAGAGACTTTTCTTTTCTGTTTTTTTTTGTGAGATAATTTACCCCATTCTACCTCTCCCTTTCTTCTCCGAGTATCATCCTCTCTCATCCCTTAATTTTATTCTCCAGATATGACCCCTTAATCTTCAACTCACCCTGTGCCCTCTATCTATATATACATACATACATACAATTTTTTTCCTTCAACTACCCTAATACTGACAAAGTTCTCATGAGTTACAAATATCATCTTTCCATGCAGGAATGTAAACAGTTCAATCTTAATAAGTCTCTTATGATTTCTCTTTCCTGTTTACCTCTTCATGTTCCACTGGAGTCCTGTATTTGAAAGTCAATTCTTCTGTTTAGCTCTGGTCTTTTCATCAGAATGCTTGAAAGTCCTCTATTTCACTGAATGACCATTTTTTCCCCTGAAGGATTATACTCAGTTTTGCTGGGTAGGTGATTCTTGGTTGTAATCCTATCTCCTTTGCCCTCCGGAATATTATATTCCATGCCCTGTGGTCCTTTAATGTAGAAGCTGCTAAATCTTGTGTTATCCTGATTGTGTTTCCACAGTACTTGAATTGTTTCCTTCTGGCAGCTTGTAATATTTTCTCCTTGACCTGGGAACTCTGGAATTTGGCTACAATATTCCTAGGAGTTTTCTTTGGGGATCTCTTTCAGGAGGAGATCTGTGGATTCTTTCAATTTCTATTTTGCCCTCTGGTTCTAATATATCAGGGCAGTTTTCCTTGATAATTTCTTGAAAGATGATGTCTAGGCTCTTTTTTTGATCATGGCTTTCAGATAGTCCAATAATTTTTAAATTCTCTCTCCTGGATCTATTTTCCAGGTCAGTTGTTTTTCCAATGAGATATTTCACATTGTTTTCTAATTTTTCATTCTTTTGGATTTGTTTTACAGTGTCTTGATTTCTCATAAAGTCACTATGCTTCCAATTGCTCTATTCTAATTTTTAAGGAAGTATTTTCTTCAGTAATCTTTTGGACTTCCTTTTCCATTTGGCCAATTTTTCTTTTTAGGGCATTTTTTCCTCATTGGCTTTTTGGACCTCTTTTGCCATTTGGGTTAGGCTGTTTTTTAAGGTGTTATTTTCTTCAGTATTTTTTTGGGTCTCCTTTAGCAAGCTGTTGACTTGTTTTTCATGATTTTCTTGCATCACTCTCATTTCTCTTCCCAGTTTTTCCTCTACTTCCCTTACTTGCTTCTCAAAATCCCTTTTGAGCTCTTCCAAGGCCTGGGACTGATTCCTATTTTTCTTGGAGGCTTTGGATGTAGGAGCTTTGATTTTTGTTTCTTCTTCTGGTTGTATATTTTGATCTTCTTTTTCACCAAAGTAAGATAATATAGTCTGACTCTTTTTGCACTGCTTGCTCATGATCCCAGCCAATTACTTGAGTTTTAAACTCTTTGTTAAGGTAAGAGTCTGCTTCCAATGTGGAGAGTGTACTGTCCCAAGCTTCAGGGGTTTGTGTAGCTGTTTTCAGAGATACTTGTAGGGACCTGTAAATTTTCAGTTCTAAGGTGGTATGATAAGGGAGGTGTTTACTCCTTTCCTGGCCTGTGACCACAAGTATTCCTTTCTGTCCTAACTGTGAGGAGGGGTTCCTCTCCACAGCCACTACAAGCTCCACCAGCCAGCCTCCTCCTCCCAGCACCGCCCAGAACTGTGACCCAGATCCACACACGGGCAAAGCAAGAGATTCCTGCCTCAGCACTGGCAAACAGATCCCTGCAGTCCCTCTCTGATCAGCCACTGGATTCCCCCTCAGTCTGTGGGCCGGAAGCTCAGGAAGCAGCTGCCCCCCCCCCCGGCCACGCTCTTGGGGAATGGAGCTGAAACCCCACCTTCCTCTCTGACCACCGACAGAAACAGACTTTTCCCACTGACCTTCTAAGTTGTCTTTGGCATTGGTGGATTGAGGAGTCTGGAAATCTCCACAGCTGCCCGCAATTCAGTCCTCTGAGGCCTGCTACAGGTTTGCTGTGGCCTGTGTGTCCATGCTGCACTGCACTGCACTCCCAGCCCAGCACGATACACCTTTCTGATCAATCATCCAGGTTGTCTTGGGCTGGAAATTTGTTTCACTCTGTCTTTTTGTGGGTTCTGCTGCTTCAGAATTTGTTTAGAGCCATTTTTTATGAGTATTTGGAGAGGTTTGGGGGAGAGCTCAAGCAAGTCACTGCTTTCACTCCCTGTATTTAATTTATATACATTCTTCGGAAGTATTTAAAGGTACAGAAGCATAGGAGTTCCACTCCAAGGGTAGTCTTTGTAGACATTTAAAAGAGTTTACTGACTAATATGATCTTTTTTGTCAAATAATGTTGAAATACCTTTAAAAATTATGAATTT